GACAAACATTCCAGACAACGTTAACAACATTGAAGTAATTGATCCAACCAATTTCAATTTGTTTTCCGACCACAAGTGCATACTCTTTGAGTTTCAAAATACAGCAACACCTTCCCACAAGCTCAAAAGATCGGTTTACGAATACAACCGTGCGGATTTTAAAAAAATGAACCGTACTTTTGAATCGATTGAATTTGAATTTAGCGATCCCACATCGATGTCCGACATTAACGAGAACTGGAATTTATGGAGAGACACTTTCCTTGCTGTAGCTGACGAATGTATTCCAACAAAGATTGTAAAAGGAAGGTACAATCCACCATGGTTGACCGGTGAGATAAAATCTTTGATCAAAAAGAAAGAAACACTACGGCGAAAACTCCGTCGCGGAACAAATTCTGCTGCACTTGTACAAAAATACAAGAATCTCCGCCGTACATCTAAGAGATTAATCAAAGAAAGTCGGGAAAAGCAGTGCCGCCCAGAGGGGGGGGGGGCAAAGGGGGCAATTTGCCCCGGGCCCCGAGTTGCTGGGGGCCCCTGAAAAATTTTTGTAGGGGCCCCGCCTTTTTTGTGTGTTAAATATTTCCGCGCAAAGGACAAGATATCTGTTTTCTTGGGCTAAGTACCGAATTTTGGCCTAAAAAAATGAGATAAAGTCAATCGAAAGCGTTTGCAACGTACTCGTCCGGCAAAATTTTGGGTCCGAAAAATTTTTTTTTACCCCTAAAATGATACACTGACCGAAATTTTTTTGGCGACGGGGGGGGGGGGGGGGGGGGGGGGGAGGTCGCCCAAATAATATCCGGAAAAAATTTTTCCGGAAAACCTTTTTTAGATAGGGCCCCTAAAAATAAATTTGCCCCGGGCCCCCGCCAACCTCTGGGCGGCCCTGGTCCCGAAGAACGTATCCGTCTAAATCAACCTCAATGTTTGACTGTTCTTTTTCATTCAAAAATAAACTAAACTCCACCTCACACCAACTCAAACCACCCTCACACCAACTTACATCTCCTCACTCTACCCCAATCATCCCACCTCACACAACCTAGCTCAACTTCACTCTAGCTCACTCCATTTCACACAACCTCAGTCCACCTCAAAAAACTCACGATTATTAAATAACTTTCTAAGGGATACATTTATTTATTGATTTCTACAGCAGTACAAGAAAATTGACTCAGTGAATCTACAGATATTCTAATATACATATCTTCACATATCTGACGAATCTACAAAATTATGATTACAATGAATACATCACTGTACCGGAAACGACAACATTTTGAATGTCTATCAATGATTAAGTAACATTTTCGCCGTTCTAATTATAATTTGCCGAGGGTACTGGACGTAATGCTTGTACACGAACAAGGATAATATGACAGGTTTGCCTATTTATGAAAGTCTTTTTATACAAAGTGTATGATGTAAAAAGAAAAAGCCTTTTTGAGGTCTTTCCTCAGGTCCTTGACGTATTTATTTTCACACAAGCTTGATCATTAACATATACTGTACACGCATGTCTTTTTCATGGTATCGATATATATAAAATGTATGCAGTTTACGTGCCTAAACAGAGTGCAATGCTTTTATGAAATTTGAAACTGATGGAAGCGTGAATTGGTTGTGATGATTGGCTATACAATTGGTCGTACTTTCATTTCACTAGTCTTTAAAGAGTACTTATATCCTTTAAGCCTCCTCCATTTGCTGACAAACGGTGAATTTTGTCTAAACCTAGCCAGAATTCATCAGTCAACTTTCCAAATCCATTTTTGTATTCAGTCCAGTTTCTGTAAAAATCCACAGAACCATCTACACGTCTCTGGAATATGGTCCAGCCCTTGCCTGGAGTGGAAGTCATGTCACATCTCACTTGGAAATCTCCTTGTCCGTCCGGATCGATTGTATAAACACCTGTGATTGTTTTGCCTGATTTGTATAAAACATCACAACTTTTCGCTAAAGGAACGAAGAACGCATTAAAGACAAAAATTACCTTCCAACGAATGAAAAAATACTCGCACATTTACTATCTAACTGGCTACTGTCCCAATAAATCCACCACCCAGAATTTCGCTCCGGAGGGATTTTCTTAGGAATATCGCGCCCTTTTAGAAATTTCGGCCTCCATTACAGTAGCGAGCCCACTAAATTAAGTTGTAACTAGAAATACATGCATACAGTAACCCCTCGCCAATATTTTCCAAACGTTAAATTAACATGAAGTATTCAGAAATGACCAACACTGAACGCAGGCTCGCGCTCAAGTGTTGCCATGACAAGGCATCAACTATTTCGCTGACATTAGAATGACATTTTCATGTCATTTTGTCAGAACTGTTTTCTTCAAGATTGGTTTAGAAACAAATTTGGCATAGGGTTAGGTTAGGGTTTAGGTAAGGATTAGGGTAGTGGTTAGAGTTGGTGTTTGGAGTGGGGTTAGTGTTAGTAAAACCGCTGCTTTGTTACGTTTTGTCACTTTGGGCTAGCGAAATAATCTCTTCCCCATGGCCATGACAACACGATTAAAATATTATTATTTTATTAAACTTTTAATATTTTTGTACAAAACTGCAAAATAGTTGAAAGATTCTATACAACAATAAATTTCCGAAATATATACTGTAGGTATATCATTTTGCACTTTGTGAGCTTTGATTTAATGTAAAATTTAACTTGAAACGCTTCGTAAAATGTTTTGAAATGTTCATTCAACATTTCAACTAAACTACATTTTGCCGATAAACTGTTTTAAGTTTAATACAAATAAAACAAACTGTTAAGTAATTTCAGTTCTGCAGTCTTCAAATCTATTTGTTCGCCTTTACATTTTAAGATCTTTTCTCAAATTAAACGGTAATTTATGAAACTTAGAGCTTCGTTGACGTTGAAAAGGAAAACAGTTCATGTTTTTAGGCAAAAAGTTAAAGCAACAGAATTCGTAAACATTAAATATTCAAAGCAAACTTGCCGTATATTTCACGATTTCCCATAGTAAATCAATTCTTCTCATTTCTTCAAACAAAATTGCCTGAAGCTTGTTGTATATGAAACGATTTTCCAAATATATGTCTTTTAAAATTGAAATCTTGCTTACAGTATCCCACTCCTACATGCAATCAGCCATATTTTCGAGATCAGTGAGGATGACCACCCACTCAAGATCGTTGGTCACGCCCGCGATCATTGATGAACTTTAGACTTCGCTAATGCTTTCGTTTCTCCGTGTAAATAGCCGGGGGGAATTAGTACCCGCGCCGTCGGCTCGGGGATTATGCAGTTGTCATGCATGCATATCTGGCAAGAGCACATGCAAGATTTTAATCATTCAAATTAAATTAAGCATTTCAACTACAGTTTCTCACGAATTTATAGCTAGAATACAATAATTTATTTAAAGTTATGCAAAAGAATAGGGACTGATTGCTCAAGTTTCCCGAGCCATGGCCGGGGCATACGAATTGTGCTGAAATAACGTATAATTACTATTGTAGCGAACTTGCTCAAAGTTCACACCAATGTTTGAAAGTTTGAAATATATTGAGCTCCATGGTCATGGAGTCGTATCAGTTTAGTGCCAAAATAAGTGGCTGTTCAAATCGCCTCTGTTCGAAACTACGCACTGACGCCATATTCGGCAAAACTGTTTCGTAATCAGCCGTCTGTATCGCCCATATTAAACAAAGTTTTTACGGGTTAGCGGGCTCCAATTTCCTATCAAAGCATTTCCCATGCAGTACCAAGAATGACAGGACAGCAGTATTTAATGTGTGGTAGGATGTAGGCCTTACACAGTGTTGTTGCTACTTCAATAGGGATGAAGCGGCTTATAGGGGTTGTTTATATGGTCCCGCAGGAAATTTGCCCTCCCCCCGAAAATTTGGCCCCCCCGGGCCATATTTCCTAGGCAATATGGCCCCCTCTTCGGAAATTTGGCCCCCTCTAAAAAATTATAGTTTACTTTATCTTTTAGCTCGGAAATCGTGAAGCTTCTACTAAAACCAAATTTCGATAAATTTTTCTCAACATTTATAGTTACTTTAATTGCGTAATTTTTTGTGTCAAAACAAAATTCTGCGCTGAATTGCAATACTGACGAGAATTAGGCCCAGAGAATTGCTTACAACACTGACGGATTTTATGTAGCTGGATGTAACCTTTGATTTTTGCGTGTTTGCGAAATGTTTTTGTGAGTCATCCAAACCTTTGCGGTGCTTTTGTGTTTGCTGAATATTTTGTTAGTTATTCAAACCTTTGTGCTTTTCTGTGTGCGGAATGTTTTTGTGAGCCATCAAGCATACAGTCTACTTAGTCCGTGTGTTGTGACCTCGAAAAGTGCCTAGAAAACAATTTTCATTAAGCATGTCTTAGATCTGAAATACTTTTGCGGGGACTAACACTTTCGAACACGCTGAGTTCAAATCCGAAAAGTTCCCACTTCGTAGACCCGCAGTTTTTTCACAAAATGCTATTTTATCTTCACTAATTTCACAGCAATTTTTTTCATTGTTCAACGACACGGATCGATGACGATACACGATTATGTCACTCAAAAGGACTAATTTCTATTAACCATTATTCTTCCCTTTTAACAAAAGACCGGTTTTGCTCGAATCATTTTGAGTTATGCAATCTTATGCGTGTTGGACGTAAACAACATAATTATATCTTGTCTACAACTTTGAGAAGGTACAGATAATTCCTTCTAATATCCTTAGTTCTGGATCTATCTCTATAAAATCACAAGGACGTTAATGTCAAATCTTTGGGCTATGTCTCTGGATTGAGAAATAATTCCTTACATGCGATCAAAATGTTTTATACAAAGATGTAAAACGTTAATCTATATGTAATGGATCAGCATTGAAATTTCCAACACGGTTTCCGAGACGTAATTCAAGATTAACTTATCATTGCATTTGAACTATTAAATCAGGGGGTCGGCTATTTTGCGAGCTGCGAGTTGCGAGTTGCGAGTCGCTAGCCTCGCTTTGAATTAGGCTTTGAAAGTATATTAATATGGACGACATGGAAGGGAAAGTCGAAGGGTTTTTTGTTTCATAAATATAATGACCTTCGAAGTTAAGGTCCCTGTAACTAAGACTTCGACACAAAAAAAATGCTACGATACGGACGAGATAAAAATCGGCCTTTACTTGTTTTTTTACTTTGTTAGATCTATCGATACGTATGTTCAAGAATTAAAATAATTATATTGAAAATAAAAGTGCAAGTTTATATTTGCCGTTTCTGTGTTTAATAAAATCTAGTAGTTATCCAGACCATTTTGTGCTGTCTAATCTTAAAATGGTTATTTAATTTTATTAGTAAGTATGACCAGACACCGACTCAGTTTGTTTATATATACTGAACGCTGGGAACCCCATAAAACTCAAGTCCTTTTCATCGGAAGTACAATTTATTTTATACAATTTATACATAGACATACATATACATACATAAACTTTATCTAAACACGGGAAAAAACCATCAGTATATCAAAACGATTGCTATTTACAAGTTTGTAAGTATAAAAATAAATGCAATGAATGTTTATTTCAAAAGCTGAAAATTGGCGCCAAACTGAGACAAAGCTAAAATCACATCCGCCAGGATGCCATACAGTTTTCAATTTGAATTTTTAGTGTAAACCACAGGTGTAAACACCTGGTTCGGTGCTTCAAAGCTAGGTTAATGTTAACCCTGGGTTAAAATTAAACCCGATGTTATTAGAAATTAACAATATACTCGTAACTCGCAACTCGCAACTCGCAACTCGCAGCTCGCAACTCGCAACTCGCAGCTCGCAACTCGCAACTCGCAACTCGCAGCTCGCACTATAGATAATCTCTTAAATCAGTTGGTGTTATACTGTGCGATAAGCGAATATTAACGGAAAGAGGGCTTCTATATACGTCGAAATCATCAAATAAACAGCTCACACATTTCTCCACTTCGTCGTAAGTTTACAGAGCATATTTTATACTTTGGGACTGATCCTTGTCTTTGATGTGAACATTTATTCTTATAGTTTAAGGTTATTTAAGATTGATCCTGTCGTAAGTGTTCTACCAGCAACCATTCGACAATATTTTATTTTAGCGTTGTCTTTGCCGTTACGTTGGCTTCGCATTACTTTTGTTTTAAATACCTTGATCGCGTTAAAAGAGTTATTTTTCAGGCCAGTGACATAGCTAAAAGACTTCGCATTAATGTTCTTGTGGTTTTATAAAGATATCTCTAGAACTGAGGATTTTAGAAAGCGTTATCGGCTGTACTTTCTCAAAGTTGTAGACAAGATATGTTGTTTACGTCCAACACGCATAAGATTGCATAACTCAAAACGATTCGAGCAAAACCGATCTTTTGTTAAAAGGAAGAATGGTTAATAGAAATTGGTCCTTTTGAGTGACATAATCGTGTATCGTCATCGATCCGTGTCGTTGAACAATGAAAAAATTTGTTGTGAAATTAGTGAAGATAAATTGATAAAATAGCATTTTGTAAAAAAACTGCGGGTCTACGGAGTGGGAACTTTTCGGATTTGAACTCAGCGTGTTCGAAAGTGTTAGTTCCCGTAAAAATATTTCAGATCTAAGACATGCTTAAATGCTTAATGAAAGTGAACGATATCACGTCACAACACGCGGACTAACTTCCGTTTTTACGGAATGCTTCTGTAATGCATCCCAACCATATGAGCGATATACTGTGTATATGTAAGTAAAATTGCATAGGAAAAGTTTTTTTTACGAAATAACCACTCATTTGATTTTGTTTTTCGAACAAACGTCCATTTAAAAGTCTACTTTTACCCTAATGCTAATTATTCCCTGTCATTTATTAAACGCGTGCATATTAACATATTCGCCCCATCGTTTGCTAAAGTGCAGTTGTTATTCTCACTAATTTTATACTATGTGACTGAATTTTATAGATCTAAATAACTAAGTCTTGTAATATCTTAAAAATTCCTATCTCTAAAAATCGTTTCGTGTCCTTAGCTTAAAGCTAAGCCATTATGCATTAACGTTGTCCTCAACAGATACGTAACGTGATGTGTCTGGCATGACTAGTGCACTAACACATTATTGTTATGTAGTTGGTGTCAAAGTTCAATTTTTCTGTTTGCCGATTGGTCAAAACCGTATCACGTGCCGGTCCACAAAACGTCATGTTCGGCAACCGGTCCGCAATGAAACATTTATTGACCGGTCAATAATAAAATGGGTGCAATACGCATGCGTGTCAACCATGAAGTTCCAAAGTTCATTTTTAAACTTTTTACTAAACATTTACGGCGTTTTTTGGTTTCAAATTAAGTTCACTCCAATAACCGGTGAATTATTCATACTTTGACACTTATATACTATATAACAAAACACTTATTTACTGAGACCGAGGGAAACAGTGTGTTTTGTGGCCCCTCGACCGCCGTTGTTGCCCTCGGCTTCGCCTCGGGCAACAACGGCGGTCTCGGGTCCACAAAACACACTGTTTCCCTCGGTCTCAGTAAATAAGTGATAATTATTACGCTTTCCTTCAAACTTTTAGTTCTTGGCCGCAATGAAGAATTTCCACACCAATAAGTTATGCAAATCAACTATAAATACTGACAAACACTTTTAGGATCTTGGTTTTAGAAGAAGCTTCACGATTTCCGAGCTTATAGCGATAAAGTGAACTATGTTTTCGAGGGGGCCAAATTTCCGAAGGGGGGCCATATTTCCTGGGAAATTTCCCCCGGGGGGCCAAAGTTTGCCGGGCGCCAAATTTCCTGGGACACCGGGATTCAATGAAGTGTGACGTATTTTGAGCAATTGAAATACGTGTTTCAGCCCTAAACAAAACTTAGATAACTTTAATTATTGTACGCGCTAGAAGTTATGTAGTGGAAGAAGACGATTAATTATTAATAACATTTAACAATTATTCGCCGAAGGCGAGGTGATGATTATCGGGGAATATTCGCCGAGACGAAGTCGAGGTGAATATTCCCCGATAATCACCGAGCCTGAGGCGAATAATTGTTTTAGTATTATTGCACAAGTCTTTTTGTGTTTTTCTGGTCTGAATTCATTTTAATTTCGCTTATTTCTTTATCACTAACTTCAACAAAACGGCTAGCTGCCATTTTGAAAATTTCGATTTTGTTATATGCACATGTAGGTGAATATAACAGATTAATACGTCAAATTTGACCAATCACCTTGTAGGATTTGTTATGTTCACTTGTGCAAAAATACTAATCAACAACATTTGGTTTTTTTGTCAAAAACATGGAATTTCATACAATTTGTAACAAGCAATTTTGTTAGATTATGAAGTGCGACTATTTCAATTGCTCAAAATACGTCACACTTCATTGAATCCTGGGTATGCGGGACCATATATATTAAAAAAGCCCCTTAGATCTCGCAGAGTTGCCACTTTAGCATAAACCTAGCTTTTTAAGCATTTCATTTAATATATGAAGTTCAAGCGTCAGGTCAGGGACGTAGGAAGCATCAAAATATTGGGGGAGGGGGGCACCGGCTTCCAAAGGCACTTTAAATTTTGAATAATGAAAAGAGCACCTAAAAAGTCATGGTAATGGTAATGTTGGCGACAGAGGGGGGGCAGATTTTCCGGTCATACCATATCAAATTGCAACGTACAATGAACGCCTTTTTTGACCAATTGTTTTTAAAAATCGAAATTTCACAAAAAAGGGCATCTTCGATGTTAATATAGTATTTACAGCGACATGAGCTTGTACAACTGAAAAGTGCATATTTCATCACAAAAAAGGGCAATTTTGCCCCTCCCCCCCGCGGTTCCTACGTCCCTGTCTAAGGTTATTATGTCCGTATTAATCGAAATTATCAATCTAACGGGACATTGGTCGGAAGCATAATTGGTAGTATAAAGGTTCAGATTTGACTTTCACTACCGCTACCATTAAGCGGCCATTAACCAATTAGATGCGTTTGGTATATCCGATAATCCAATCAGATGCGTACTTAGCCAGTGAGACTGAAAGGTAGCGATAGTGGAAGTCAAATTTGAACCTCTCTATTATCGTCGCGCATAACTAAGACGAAGGGGAGAGCAAGTTTCCACTGAGTTCACATCGTTCACAAAAATATTGAACAACAGGGACCCCAGTAAACCCTTTGTTTACGACCATACAAGTAGGAACGAATCAAGGCCAAAGCAGATCGATCGAACGGTCTAAAGTCTAAACCATAGGACTTCAGTTTAGCAAGCAACAGAATATGAGGGATAAAAATTAGAATCGAATGCATTATAGAAAGATCAATTGCCACCGCAACTATGTCCTTTTTAACATTAAGATCAGATCTCCAATCTTCAGCCAGTTTTCAGAGAAAACAGGAGAAAACGCCTGGTGTAACTGTTGAACTTTCTCGAATAAATTTGGGATCACAGACAATATATAGATTAATGGACCTATCGTTAGTTTTACATGTCAGCTCTTCCTTGTTATAAATAGGAATGGCATTACTACATTTCCATTCCGAGTGGGTCATATAAAATCGACAATGCAGTGATTGAATAACCTAGCTAGTAAAAAGTGAGCAGCAATTCCATCAGGACCACTATAGCCTTTTTCTCATCCAGAGACAACAGTGGTTTTTTCAAATATTCACAGTTGATCACAGTAAAGGAAAAATTAAGACTCACTTCAAGATTCTTTATTGCCGTGTGCATGGATGGTTAGAAAACTGCTCTTCAGTAAGCTCTTATTGCTAAAACTTCTTGCTCAAAAACGTCAAAACCATATGGTCTAAGGTTGTTATGTCAGTAAAAATGTAACTGACATTAGCTATATACTGTATATATGCTAATATCAGTTAAGTTTTAGAAATCAGTTTATATCAGTATAGGCCTAAATGATGATAGCAGAGCCATAATTCGTTTTGATTTACCATGTTTCACTGGACCACTCTTCTCATTTGTCTGTTTTGCCTGCAATAATAGGAAGAATTGACATGCATGATAATTATGTTGCTGTATCAACCAAAACGAGATTTAAAAATTTGACTGAAGTAATGTGGCTAACGCCAGTCTATTTTACGTCTAGGTTTTGTCCAGTTTATAAACAATTTAATTAACATTTTTGCAAAGAAATGTCTAGGCTAGAAACGTGGAGGTCAGCGAAGAGTTTTCGAACTCATATTCGGTCACGCTTGAGACACATAATAGATGAGGCTAATGGGCAAATTTTGCTTAGGAAATGTAAATTCTTTGTTGACTGATGAAGCTTAGGATCGAAATGTAATAAATAAATTTACAAATTTACTAAAGCGAAGTGAATTGTGAGTTGTATGCAGGTACTGTGCACAGGAAACCACGCGAAGTGGCGGGGGCAACCGTTTCCGTACGAATATACTCGCGACTATACTTCTAGCCAATATAGTTAGACAAATTTCGGTATTGATTGGAACAATTTTATTCATTCATATGACGCCAAAGACTAAAATGCATTGACATTGTCAAACAACATGACATTTTGTCAATTATTTTTTCTTTTTAAACTTTTTCTCATAGAAATTTGAGAGGAATTTCAGATTCAGTTTGAAGCTAAAAAAGACAACCTGCTGCCCCGTGCTGCATACCCCCTCATGCACTGTTTGGGCAACCGGGGCAGCTTGGCCTCGCTGCCCCCGTGCATTCCCCGGCTACCCTGGTTTTATACAATAGGTGTAACACTACTATAGACAAAAATTAAACAGTACATTAAATATACATTACCTTGATTAATGGTTCGTAATAGTTGTAATCAATATTAACCGTCAAACTCTGAGGCTGGATGAATTTTGTAGCGTTATTTAGTTGACAGTTTTTTGAAGAATCATGATTGTGTCTTGATTTGTAATTGATTGATTTGCAGGTAGAGATTTCTCTTACACAGTATTGCGCACATGCATTCTGTGACACTTGCTGTTTTGTATTGGCTGAATACATGCTTAGTGAGGTGGTGACCTAGAAAAAGTAGAAAGAGGTAAATCAACGACGTTTGAATTGGGGGGGGGGGGGAGGAAAGAGGGACGGGTGTCCCCTCTTGCCAGCCCTTTTATTAGAAAGGGCAAAGAAGCAAAGGCGCATTATCGGTTTTAGATAATTTTAAAAACTCGTTATACAACGAAGGTTAAGCTGCACTGTGGTTGTACGACCTGTAACTGGTCATATTATGATATCTGCAGTAGTCCTGTAACTCCACTGATTATATAATCCCACCGTATTGATGCCCCGGTCAACGGTAGGTCTCACGATGTGACATCATTTTTGGTGTACGTACACATATGTCACTCATTTGTTAGGTAGTGTGATGTTTGCTGGTGAAAAACTATAAAACATTGCACAACACATGCAATGACTGAATTTAGACAACCAACAACCCAATAAAAACACATGCTATGTCAGAGAAAAAATATATTAACCAGATATAAGAATAATAGATATGAAAATACTTAAGGTGGCTCCCTACAGTTTTAGGTCTGTGTCGCGGAAATTTTGTCCACGTGCAAGATTAATAGTGCTACACGCAACACACGTGGTCGACGTTGCACGCGTGGCGGGTTTTTTAAAATTGCGTCGTGATATACACGCGCGTGCCTTCGTGGGATTGTCGGCTGGTCGCGCGAGGAAATTTAAATCCTGATTTTTGTGACGTCACATAGATAAAAATAAATGTATTTTTCTCGTGTTTCCTTCGGTAAAATTTTTTTAAAACTTCACACACTTTCCAGTAATTTTCAAGTGCGTAAAATGAGCAAGTTTTAAGAAAATCGTACGAGCCGAATTTTTTAATTCCAAAAACAGGGCTTTTTGAGGTTAAAAAAATTCTCGTACGATATTTTTTAAATGCTATCATTTGAAGGGATTATAGATAAGAATACTGTGTGCAAGAAATTAAAAGTTTTACCGAAGAAGTTTTCAAAAAATTATCAAACAATCTGCAATTTGGCCCTTTTTAAAATCGCTTTGTTACCATGGCAACGGGGATTTTTAACGATATTTTTTATTTTTCGTAATTCGGGATATTGTAGCAGTTATGTGGCCGAGTTTCGTGATCATACTTTGCGGCAAGATGATAAAATAATGGTTTTTTGAATACAATTGTATACCTTAAAATATAAAAATAAATATTAAATAACATGAGGACCAACCGTCCCCGATCGCGATAACGTACCTGATGCAGACAAAACGAACCAGACGCCAGATTGTTGTGAAGTATATGTAGTGGTATTTACGACATCAAGGAATGTTAGATACACTAAAATTCCTTGAAACTGTTTGCCAGGTGGATGCATGCATGGATCGATGTAAAATTGATTTCAAGTTTTCTAGGCTTTTCAATGTCACGACAGCCCCAATAGGGCCATTTATACGGAACAAAATAAGACGCGACTTACATAAGACGCGACTTAAGTAAGACGCGAGTTTGTGGTATAAAAGGTACAAAATTCTTATGTAAGACGCGTCTTGGATAAGACGCGTCTTACATAAGAACAGGTCTTTTAGATGTTCTTATTTAAGTCGCGTCTTAAATAAGAAATTTTGGACAAAAAGTCTAACTACACATGCTAGAAACTTGAAACAACGTAAAATTTAATGCCTTGCATATTAAAACAAAAACAACCAAAACAACATTATAGCTATAGCAAATAAATAAGACCAAAGCCGTAGAGAACCATTCATGCGATAACTCCACTTATTTAAGTCGCGTCTTATGTAAGTCGCGTCTTATTTTGTCTCGTATAAATGGCCCTAATATCTTCCAGCGAAATCTGCAGCCGCCTCTAAATCAGGCTTTAATTTATGTCAAATTACAGCACTCTTCCGCCCTCATGCAGTCGACTATATATCCAGTTAGACAATCTCATCATGGCTTTATTAATGAAAGTTATGAAACAGACAGTTATATATATACAAACTATTAATATTGCAATAATATTTATACTTTATACGTTTGCCATTTGGATTCGTTTTACTTTTTCTTCTGTTGAGACGTTGACGACACGATTTGCAGAAAACAACTGTTTATTGCAGTGGGAAAATATGAACTAAATTGCCGGGTATATATATTATAGCTTTAACTCTCAGCATTAATGTACATGTTGATTTAAAATCAACAACATGTTCAGAATCTTCTGTAACGATGAAACAGATAAAGTATTAATAATGAACAACACAACAGCACGCCAACGGAATAATGAAATACGATTATAGAGATTATATACAAGAAGAAAATTTATTAATCACAAATTGTTTTGGCAAAAATTGATATTGAATTGAAGGGAAAATATGTGTATGAAATACTGAGCGACTGCATGGATAACGAAAAATATCAAACTACACAAACACGATCGTTGAAAAATGTACCTTCTTTTTAAATATTATTTAAAAAAAGCGTTTAAAAATAATATTTAATTAAACAGGAATCGAATATATTATTAATAGTGTTGAATAATTTACAATCGATCATTAATTTTATTTTTTGTTCCATGCAAATGTAATAACTTGCAAAGAGTAGGTGCGTTTGTTATCAAAATGATTTTTATATTACAGCAGTTTATTTTGAATAGTTTCCCGCAGATTGACGACCGTCCATTTGGTATATTCATCAGGGCCGGGTTGTACGAAGGCCGGATAGCGTTATCCACCGGATAGTGATTTTTTCAAGCTTTGTTAAATCAGTTGTTGATTTGTGTAACTCGTATTAAAGTTTAGTATTTATAAGTTAAATTTTTTTTACACTTCTTATGTCGTCTATATCCGTAGTTTCACAGTTTTTCAAACATTTTTTCAAAGGTTGAAAAAATCACTATTCGGTGGATAGCGCTAATAAATGCGCTATCCGGCCTTCGTACAACCGGCCCCAGGCCGGTCAGCACCATATCCACTGGATAATAATGATTTTTTTCTAAACGTTTCTAAAATTGTCCTTTTATTGGCATAAGCCATAACCCATGCAGATTAAACTTTAATGCCCATTTACACGGGCGATTTTTGCTGTGATTTCAGTTGCGATTTTTTCCTTTTGGAGGATGTGAAGGAGTAGATCAGTTATAAATGTTCCAGGTTATGAAATCTCATAACAACATCATTAAGTAATCTACTCCTTCACATCCTCCAAAAGGTGAAAATCGCAACTAAAATCGCAGCAAAAATCACCCGTGTAAACGGGCCTTTATAATTTATCAATTAAAGTCTCTTTAATAATTCTGAGGTCCATATCCCGTAGTTTTATAGCTTTCAGAGCATTTTTACAACGGTTGAAAAAATCGTAGACCATAGTAACAGATTTGTCCAGTGACGTCACCGAGTGAAATACAGGCGCATACTAGAAATACATGCATGCAACAACCCCTCGCCTACATTCTCCAAACATTGTTTCAACATGAAGCATTCGTAATTACGCCAACACTGAACGCAGGCTCGCGTTGCTCACGTCATGTTAGTCATGGCAACACGAATACATGAATCACACGATAATTGTTTTTTTTTAATTTTTGATTTTTTTGTAGGCCTACAAACCTGCAAACAATAGAGAAATTGACTGTGTATATAACCTATATAAATAAGTCTTACTCATGTATAACCCATACACTTGTGTATGCGATTCACTCTTATTGACTGCATGTTGTGTATATAAAGCAATATTGATTAAATTTACTCTCAATAATATATATACCGCTATACAGTGATAAACCTCTCTTTTACATGTATATAGTTTACCGGCTTGTGTCTACTTGAATTGACACTATATATAATAACAATAATATTAGTATCACTAATGACACTATATATAGTTAGTTATATACCTGATAATAATAAATATTAGTATGACACTAGTTAGTTATTAATAATAATAATAATAATAATATAGTATGACATAGTTGTGGGTCTGCCTCGTACCCAGGCGCTATGTATTTTTCTATGGTTTGCGTGACTTTTGCGTGGGCCGCGTGGATTAATTTGAAAAGCCGTCTCGCGTCCAAAGCGCCTGGGTACGAGGCAGGTTGTGGGTTATCATGTCCATTCTTTGTTGCGCTTACAGAATATATACGAGGACCTGACACCTATGTCAAGATTGAACTCAAAAAATCTTTCCGCGGACGCTATATTTCCGGACATTTCTGGGTGCGGTAAAGTCACTCGGTTAGTTTTTGCTGATTGTTTTCCCGTAAGTCTCCCCATATTTTAGCTATAATTCTTAATTTTTAATTACTTCCTTCCTACCCAATTAAAGGTCAAATTTGGTTAGACGAACAATGCAAGGGGGATGGGTGTCACGCCCCCAACACACCTCCTCCCTAGCGATGACACTGCATGGTAAATATCACGCATAATTGTAGTGTGTGTAATGGTATAAATATATACAGTTAAAACTTGGCGGTGAACAAGCCGACGCTAAGTGCCATTCCTTTTCCCGACGTTACGGATCTGTTTTGCCCGGCGACTTCCCTTACCTACTATTAATTGTCTAGATTATATTACGAGGGAAGGCAGTACCCAAAAATGGCGGATATTGGCCCACGTGAGAAAGTGTCATTGATTGTGATCGGGTTGGCTATGCCATTGGTTGTACTTTCATTTCACTTGTCTTTAAAGAGTAATAATGTCCTTTAAAATTGTACCAGTTAACCCCATCAGCATAAGAACTGTGAGGACCAGCAAGATATTGGCCATTCAGGTTTGAACGATGACATTTGTTGTACCACCAAGCACCCTTGAAGGTTTGAGAACATTGAGAGTTTGGATTGTAGTCATTATCGACGTCTTTAGTCGTTAATTTCATTCCACTGTGGTAGCTCATTGAATCTCCTGCGTCGCCTGTAAATTGGAATAGCATGACTTCAAGTGGAAGTAGAAACACGCGCATGCATGCACTTCTGAAACCGGGCGCGCACATTACCATTTTATAGTTGGCCGATTTATGGTTTGGATTCATTTTGAAACGAGGAGCAGTCAGTGGTACGATCTGTGAACTCATTATCCTCTGTATATGTAAGTGGGGGAGAGGAAATACGGTAAATAGCATTTGCCTAAATCTTAAATCGGCCGATGTTTAATATCGTAGCGTGTGTGCCCGCGCGACTAAATCCAAATTGCACGACTTACGACTATATGCATGCTGTAATCTTATGCTGCAATAACCTAGCAGAAGATATCAAATAATGGACATGAATTTAGTCATTCACTGAACTTTTTAAGCGTTCGTAAAAGGAGTGCACTCGTGACACTATATTATGGGGTCAATATACGGGCTGAACGCGACGTCTACTCTTTGAAAGGTGATTCGGAAATTAATGTAATGACTGAGAAACCTCACCTCAGATTTTGTTCGGTTTGCTTGTAGTATGATAGCCGGCATTCTGTTTTTCACTCCGGGTACAGGGCCTTAACTAACGGCGCAAAGCTACTTTAACGTACTATGCTTATATGCGGCAATGAAGGTATCTTTAATGCATGATATTCAGTAGCATATTAGAGTTGGAAAAGTGGGAGAACTACAGCGTACCACTTGACCAGGTGACTAAAAACATATGCAATGATCATAATGTTTTATAACATAAAAATAAAAGGACATTGTGCCACTGATTATCTCTAATAAGAGCTATCTAGTTCTTTATTAAAAGTTCTATTTAAAACATGCGTAGGAGTGTTTTTTTCGAGTCGTATATAATAAGTCGGAGGCCGTATTTTACAAATATTTTAAAAAGTAATATATTGTTAGTCGTGTCATATAGTTAATTGTCAACACTTTTTCAATGCATGGTAGTAAGTTCATAACTGGCACCATAACTCATAATTAAGTTATGTTGATATTTTGTTTATACAGATTGATTGTTTTAATTTGTAAGGCTCCTGTAAGTTTGTTATTATCAAACGTTTAGATTGTTTTTAAGCATCCTAGTAATGATTTTACTTTAAGACCAAGACAACGCAGCTGTCGAGACCGATTTTTAATACTCTATAAATAAAACATTAAACTGTGTAATAGCAAGGGCGGGTTGACTACAAAATTTTTGTAGTTCGCTATAACTACAGCTACTTCAAAAAATATGTAGTCAGCTACAACTACTGCTACTTTTGAACAAAGGTAGTTCGCTACTGACTACAGCTACAGCTTAAAAAATGTAGCGGACAATTTCGCTATTTCGCTACGCTATATTTTTAGTGTTACTGTATTTGGAGCATCTACTAACTCAGGCTGAAATGTAACCTATAACAAATCGACTTATGAGTAGCAACAGTAAACACAAAGCAACATTTTTGTAAGCACTACAGTGTTCAAGAGTGCAAATTGGGGAGGGTACAAAAGCTGGACCCCCTCATCTGGACCCCCTCATCTGGACCCCCTTCTGGACCCCCATCTGGACCCCCTTCTGGACCCCCTTCTGGACCTCTCAGAGTATAAAATAAATTCAAAATAGGGATTAAAATAAATACTTTGCAGAAATAATGATTTTCATAAATAATAGATTTTAATTTATGGAAGTGGGCCTAGTTGCGAAGTAGTCTTGTGTAATAGGTTAGACAGGTCACTACTTTATATTAGATCAAAAGAATAGTTTCGGCCATGTTAGGGTCAGGCATATTTCGAGTTACGGATAGTGCGCCATATTTAGCGTTTTTATATTGTTATTATCGTTGATGCACTATCTCCTTGCAAGATGAAGTAACAACAAACTATAACTTGGCGGGAAAAAAATAATAGCATGTTGTGCTTCCTTATTGTGTGACCTTGTTTAAAGGGTATGAGCAATTTTATGCTATTATTTAGCCACAACATGCTATTATTTAGCTACAACATGCTATTATTTTTTTCCCGCCAAGTTATAGTTTGTTGTTACTTCATCTTGCAAGGAGATAGTGCATCAACGATAATAACAATATAAAAACACTAAATATGGCGCACTATCCGTAACTCGAAAAATGCCTGACCCTAACATGGCCGAAACATCAGTGGGCCGAAACTATTCTTTTGATGTAATATAAGGCATGTAGTAAAACACTGACTACCGGAACACCGGAACACCACCGGAACACCGGAACACCACCATTTTGTTTGGGGTTAGGGTTTGGGGTTAGGGTTAGGGTTGGGGGTTAGGGTTGGGGGTTAGGGTTGGGGTTAGGGTTAGGTGGTGTTCCGGCGGTGTTCCGGTGGTGTTCCGGTAGTCAGTGTTTTACCACATGCCGTAATATAAAGTAGTGACCTGTTTAACCTATTACACAAGACTGCTTCGCAACTAGGCCCACTTCCATAAATTAAAATCTATTATTTATGAAAATCATTATTTCTGCAAAGTATTTATTTTAATCCCTATTTTGAATTTATTTTATATTCTGAGAGGTCCAGAAGGGGGTCCAGATGAGGGGGTCCAGCTTTTGTACCCTCTCTGCAAATTGCTATTGAGTAACAATTTTAGAAAGTAGCGAATAGCGATCGCTATTTGAAAAGTAGTCAACTACTTGGCTACTTTTAGGCAAAATGTAGTTCGCTATAACTACAGCTACTGTTTTAAAAAAGTAGTCAAAAACTACTGGCTACTTGAAAATTGTAGTTCGCTACAGTAGCGAACTACAACTACTTCGCTACTACCCACCCTTGTGTAATAGACGTACTAGTGTTGGGTAAAGCTATCTAGTTATATATATTTTATATGCGCTTTTGTCTAATTCAAGCGTGGTAGACAATATTGCCAATGTTGTTGTGGTTTGCGATATAAATTGCCTCGCGAATCGAAGACTTTCAGATATGTCATATGTCGAATAGATTTGTGCGTTCTTTGTACTTCAATTTTGGCCACGAGGCACAAAGGGAGACTTAAAAAACACGAGTGACGGGTGTTAACACAATTTAACTACGTACAGTGTTGACAAAATTAAAAAATACCGGGTTAACGTCAGTAACGAACCAAGCCAGATGTCGATCAGAATTAGCTTTGCAATAACGGCAACCGCTACTAAACACGCGAGAAAGTCTCGAATTTCGATTTGTATTTATATGAACTGTGGTCACTGTATAAAAACGAGTGTATGAGAACCCCTGCATTTGATAATATTTACTGTAAATAGAACTAAATACATTGTAAACACGACGCTCGCTCCGATCTACTACGAATGGCGGCTATTTTTAGATATTTCGTATTTTTGTAGTGCGTTGCGTGCGTTGCGTACGGTGCACCTGTGGAAGTGCACACTTGTGTCGCCTAAGAAAAAAGATCTGCCATTTTAATACTCCGGTAGTTACAGTACCCGGAGTAATTACAAAATTTGACATGATCTGCAATCAGAAACTCTTGAAAATCTGATTGTAGAGATTAAAAAACCACGATCTAAGTCCATCTTGGTAATTATAGTACATGGTATAGACTTCCTGATTTACCAACTAGTCATGTTGCTGAATTCGAGCAAGTGATTGAATAATTTGAGATTTAAATGTTGACTTTATGTCAACAACCGAGTCACCAAGCAGGTATAAAGTAAAAAAACATATACGACATATACGATATACAACAGTTAATAAATGAACCGACAAGGGTTACTGCTACATCTAGTACCCTGTTACTCCTACATGTTAATATTGTGAAATCTGGTGTTATACACTTCTCACACACCGCTGAGGGATGCTGCACACGGAAGCCTGACCTTTAATTAATTATTAACAATATCTCATATTTACAAACGAGGATCGCAACAAAATATCAACCAGGATAGCTGCCAATAGGGTGGGTGGGTGGGACACAGGTCAGGCTAGCACAGGCAAGCAAAAAAGTGATTCGGTGACCTGAACCCCACCCTTGACCCAGTCCCCCAGCAGTGTGTGAGAAAAACATTTTCTGCCTCTTTCGTTCCTCAGCCGGCAGAAAATAACACTTCTCACACACCGCTGAGGGATGCTGCACACGCAAGCTCAAAACGCATAGTGTCACAAAGAGCTTAGGAGAATGTTCAGCTAGACTTATATTAGGTGTTCTTATCCTGAATAGATTTAGTAACTAATAACAAAGAGTCCAGGCTCTCTTCTAGATAATTATTCTTAGCTGTCTCACTTCTCCAGCCTCCATGTCGTTGGAATAACCGGTCCGGTACACCCAAAGCTGCTGCTGGCCCCACCTGCACGTAGACTATGTAGGCTTTAACTCTGCTTTCAGTAGTTGGCTGGCCCTACTATAGGACATGCCCTGTTTCTTCAGTTGCAGCCATTTTTTGTATGCTGGACTCGCCGAAATAACTTGGATCCCTGCGCATGACAACCTTGCACTAGGAATTTCTTTACCACTGCCACTGGACACGGTTTCACTTCCGAGCTTGAAATGAACACCCACGAACCGTCTCTAAACTGGTCATTTTTTTTCGTTTTTCTAAGAACAATGCCATATGTGAATTCTCAATTTGGATATTGTCTGCGGCCAAATTACTTAGGTCATCCCATCGCAGAAAACCAAAAAATCCCAAGGCGATCAACGTGGCTAACTGCAACTCCGCCAGACTACCTTGCTCCAAGCGCAGCACTAACTTCCTCGCCAAGTCGGCTCCAAGAGGAGACTTCCGTGTTGCCGGTTTTGCCAGGATCCGTCGTGCTGCTTCCATTAGCTGTTTAACTAACGGATGCTGCGCAGGTTCCAGGAAACCCCCCTTCTTGTGTACCCAGCTAACGCCATACACTATAGAGTTAACTGCTGCCACCGATCGTTCTTGTTGGATAAGAAAGACTAGATACAACGCAAAGGGCACTGTCTCGGCCGGCAAGGGAACCACACCCCGATGGATTGCCCACTGCTTCCACCTACGGTATGCCCCCAGATAAGTTTTAACAGTTTTATCGGCCCTGTCCTGCACCAGAATCCCAGGCAGCACATTGGCTAATCGAGCCAATTCTGGATCTTTGAAACATGTAGGTTCCAGTTCAGCTGGTAACACCACCTCTTTTGCAACAGCTTGCACCACTGCAACTGAAAAAACGCAAATTTTTAAAAAAACTACCCGACCATTGCTTCTAAAAAGGGGGGGGGGGGTCCCCAGGGTATTGTACCCCAACAAGTTGTTGTGCCCTTAACAGGCAATATACTGCCTTGCAGGCTACTACGCCCCAAACAGGCTACCAAACCCCTAACAGGCTACCAAACCCCTTTGTGCCCATACAGGCTATTGTGCCCCGTACGGGCTATTGTGCCCCGTACAGGCTATTGTGCTCCTTACAGGCTAGTGTGCCCCATACAGGCTCTTGTGCCCTTTACAGGCTCTTGTGCCCCTACAGGCTATTGTGCCCCTTACAGACTATTGTGCCCCTTACAGGCTATTGTACCCCTACAGGCTATTGTGCCCCTACAGGCTATTGTGCCCCTTATAGGCTATTGTGCCCTGTACAGGCTATTGTGCCCCTTACAGGCTAATGTGCCCCATACAGGCTCTTGTGCCCCTTACAGGCTATTGTGCCCCTACAGGCTATTGTGCCCCTTACAGACTATTGTGCCCCTTACAGGCTATTATGCCCCTACAGGCTATTGTGCCCCTACATGCTATTGTGCCCTTACAGGCTATTGTGCCCCTAACAGGCTATTGTGCCCCTAACAGGCTACTGTGCCTTTGCAGGCTAACTGCTCCTAACAGGCTATTTGTCCCTACAGGCCTTTCAGCATTTGCCTGTAATCGTGCCATGCACTGGGTACAACTCACCACTGCTATCATTCTGCCACAAAACTGAGCCTCAATGCCATAATTGTATAGGGCGGTACACCCGAAGCAAATTGGCCACTTGCTGCTGAACCGGGTACCAAGATGCCATCATATGGTTGAAATCGGCAACAGGCCCTGACAAATTCCTGCCATAATCCTTGTTTGTTAATCAACAATGGCCACCATGGGGCAGAATGCCATTCCGGTAATATAAGTGTTCCAAATTCTTTACCCTCTGCCATATGTCTTAACACTCGTGGGATCAGGTAGGGGTGAGGAAAAACCCAATTATTTTCTCCTCTCCAAGAAACAATGAAGGCATCCACAGCCTCACAACCAGGATTTTGAAACCGACTGCAATACCGTGGAAGTTGTTTGGTATGCACACTTGCAAAACGATCCAGTGTATGAGGACCCCACTCTTCGTCCAACCGCTGGAACACTAAGGGGTCCAAACTATAGTCATTTGCATCCTCCACCCTAGACAAGGCATCTGCCTGTTCATTGTCATCCCTGCTAACCCACTCGACTGATAAGCGTATGCCATTCTTTTGGCACAGTTTGTAAATTTCCACTGCCTCCCGATGAAGGTCCTGCTTCCGGCTACCCACAGACAAAATATGCACAGTGTTCATATTGTCAGTCCTGTGACGTACCTCCCTTCCCTGAAGACTGAGAGATTCCAATACTAGTCTAGTTGCTCTGATCTCCCTCCATGTGGAACTTTTATGCACTTCAGTTTCCGACCAACAACCGATAGCAGATTGTTCACCAATCTGAACTGCATATCCACCCCAACCTGTAGCACTAGCATCAGAGTAAGTCATCACGTCAATTTTTTGACTTGGGGACCAAATAGGATAACCACCATTATCAAAATTATCAATCCAGAAATATATCTCTTGCTGCGCTTCGGTTGAAAGGGCAAACAGTATATCCCAGGATGGGGCTTGAAGGATCTCACGATACAAAGCCCTAGTCCAGAGACGAACCACCGGGCCAATAGCCAACCCCATGGACACCAACATACCAGTAAGTCGAGAAAGGGATCGAGCAGATGAAACAAAGCCTTTCGACACAGCATACTGCAGGCCTTCTTGAAGGGATTCTACCCTCCTTTGTGGAACACGAAATGTACCAGATTTCAGGTCCATAACAAACCCAAGTAACTCCCCTGATTGGACCGGTTCCCATTGACATTTATCCTTATGAGCTACAAACCCACTGTCTGCAATGTCCTGTCTCACCAGGGTTGCTGTTTTTAGAGCCTCCTCCAAGCTAGTCTCTGCTCCAGCACCGTCATCAAGGTATGTAAAAACTCTGAACCCTTTCCCTCTCCAGTGTTTAAAACCAATCCCCTTTTTTGAACAAGTTTGCAGCTGTCCGAATGTCCTCGTATTGGAACTTACAAGATCGCAAATGCTTGTTGACATAACGCAAGTCCAGAATCAATCTGGGCTTCTGTGCATTATTAAACACTACGCCCAGGGGATTACAGACAGTCAACTTGTGTGCTTTTACCTCCACTAGCACCCCAGATAACCGAAGTTTGGCTATTTCTTGTGTCACAAATTCGGATGATTTGAAAGCACTCCTGTGATTAGATAACACTACTTGCTCTGGCATGTCAATAAACGGTAAACAGTATCCTTCCCGAATTATCTCCAGTACCCATCGGTTAGTCCCAATGTTCTCCCAAAAAGAAATGTTTTCTCGCAGTCGTCCCTTCACTATTGTACCTGAGCAAAGCTCCAAGTTTTCAATATCAACAAACGAACAATAATTTGAACCATCAATATTAGTACATGAATCATTCCTACTATTTACAAAGTTATCCCTCTCCCAATCACTGGGTATTTGGTTGCAAAGAGGGTCCACTAGGTTGTGCTCCATTAAAAGTGACTGTTCTTGTGTTTGCGGATCGACAATCCCTAGCGAAATGGCCGGGTCTGAGGCAACGAAAACAAACACCGCTTGTATTGTTACGCAATACCTCCGACTTTCCCGCCAAAACCCCCCGTTGCGCGGGAAACGATGCTCTGTCAACAACGCCCTTACGTTCCGTTTGGGACCCGCTAGACCACATAAACTGCCTCTTAGATTTCGTAGACTGTCCTAATTTCTTTTTCTTTTCGTCCCTAACACGCTGACTCTCCTTCACAGCCTTTTTAATCCGTTTTTCATCGTCTGCATCGGCGGCAAGAGGCTCAGCAGTGTAGCATTCGACCGTGTCCCAACCAAATTTCTCTGCTAACAAAATATGTTTGTTTCTTTCATTTAGCAAGCTCTTACCTTCGTTCAACGCAGCCGTTCGTTGCTGTTCGTCGGTAGTCGTTAGGGCTACTTGAATCTTGTCAGCGACGCTGTTATTTAGCTCGTATTGTTTTTTTTGTTCCCCACATATTTGAAGACAGGTTCGAGTACTCGCTCATCCCGTGTCGACATAGACGTTCGACCACGCTCGATTTCGCTTTGTAGACGTTTTATTTCTTTTCTGTATTCCTCCTGGTTCTTTAACAACTCTCTCGCCCATTGTGGCGGTTCAGATGGCGAACGTGAGCGACTACGAGTCTCTGAACGACTGGCGGATTGTGAAGGACGCGACCTTGCTTTTTCGCCACTCGAATGCCGCGAACTTCGTTCCGGATCTTCTTCCCTCTCTCGAGGACTTTTATTGTACGGATCCAGGCGCCGTAACGCTCTAGAATCTGATTTAGATTGATTTGATTCTTTTGGCATGACTATACCAAGCCAACAAAGACAAATTTCGCAGTTTTCACTCAAGACAAAAACAACACAGGTCAGGCTAGCACAGGCAAGCAAAAAAGTGATTCGGTGACCTGGACCCCACCCTTGATCCAGTCCCCCAGCAGTGTGTGAGAAAAACATTTTCTGCCTCTTTCGTTCCTCAGCCGGCAGAAAATAACACATATTATTTATTCTTATTACTAAATGTAATTATATAATTATCTTGGAAAATCTTTTTTTGAATAAAATATTTTTTTTAATAATTCTTCACTGTCGTTCCAATTGAATTGTTCCTCAAATATTGATTCAATACATTACCTCGGGCTAACCAATTCATTTGATTAAGTTCCTCAAGATATTCATACACTTCCTAGTATAATTGTAAACTTCCTGTTAATTAAATGGTTTGAATGCACCAATCACCTTTGTTGTTTGTGCAACTAACCAATCATAAATAGAAAGGAAGTGACCAGAAATGATTAAATACTTGGAATTGGCTCTTTCACAGGAAGTGTATGAATATCTGGAGGAACTTGATGAAATGAGATGCTTGTGTGATGTTACTCTGAGTGTATATCCACACCGGGCAGGCTTGAAAAATATACCTGGCCACAGTGGGATTTGAACATATGACCTTTGGAATACTAGCCCAAATGCCAATGCTCTGTCAACTGAGCTACGCAGTCAGGTCGGTTTGAATCCCAATATGGCTTGGCATATTTTTCAAGCTTGCCCGGTGTGGATATGCACTCAGAGTGACATCACACAAGCATCATATTCACAAATATCATGGTTATTAGATTACACTGATATCGAAGGAACTAGACTCAGTTCCGAAATATTGCATACTCGAACTGCCCAGACTGTATAGCTCAGTTGGCAGAGCATTGGGCCAGTATTCCAAAGGTTGTAGGTTCAAATCCCACTGTGGCCAGGCATATTTTTCAAGCCTGCCCAGTGTGGATATCCACTCAGAGTACGTAACATCACACAAGCATCTTATTCACCTGAGTACATGTATTACACCAACACAGCAAATATCTTGATGGAATGAATTGGTCAGCCCGAGGTAATGTATTGAATCAATACAGTATTTGAGGAACACTTAAAAATAAGGTATGAATCGCATAAAATGCAGATATCAAAATCAAACATTGTAACTCGAGCATAAAAATGTGCATATTTGTTTTAAAAGGCGATTGTTCCTTGAATGTTCAATGAAATAGTGCCATTGCCTTTTACAAGGAAGACCATTATAAAGAAATACACTTGACTTTCTTCATTGCCACCTGGTACTTAGTACAGATATCCCATATTTTCTTGATAAATTCATACCTGAAAGTGGAATACATACAGGTGCAAAAAACTTTAATGGTGATTAAGTGCTTTATATTCCAAAGAGTTGCTTTTCCCCACAATTAACTAATAGAATAAACTGGTATTAAAATCTCTAAAAAAACCTTTGTCACTCAGGGAAATTTACATTGGGAAATTTATAGCAGTACGGTTTTCAACAAGCTATATTTGCTTAATTTTACTTGCTGGGGATTGTTATAATACTCGTGTTTTAAAGAATAATCTTGATAGTCAGTTGCAACACAAATTCACAATACAACAAGAATTGATAAATCATTTCAATGACTTACATGCTTTGTTCTTGTGGCCGTCAAACTCCATTCATGTCTTTTTTTATTAATGGCTTTCGGTCTTTATTGATTTATATGCGCAGTTAGAATAATACTGTATTTTCAAAAGGACGAAAATCAAAATACACTCCATCGTCGATCAACTAATACAAACAACAGTACATAAATGATAAATCACTGTAAAATCAGGGGGGGTTGAATTTTGTCGCCCACGGACATTCGAGCCATGGGTCAGTGGAAACTGCCATGAAAATAGGTCGATTGTGACGTCAAATCCGCCATGTTTTTGGCCACACACTTTCGTCGAGAGCACGATCTCCAGATATATAAGTATAGCTCAGTGCTCAACACCGTTGGTCACCCACGCCCGCGATATTTGATGAACTTTAGACTCCGCTAATGCTTTCGTTTCCCCGGGTGTAAATAGCCGGGGGGAATTAGTACCCTCGCACGGCGCTTCGCGCCGCCGGCTCGGGGAAAAACGACCCATATCTTATGAGTTCATTGGCGAAGTAATTTCAAAAATAAACATCGTCGAGGCCGAAAAAATCAAAGCTGAAGTTTATGTGAATCAGGACAGATCTTATCCGATTTACAAACATTGATTCAACATTCGTTTCATTTGTATTTTCCTCGTGAATTATTAATGAATATTAAAACATGCACGAGGCTTGAGTAAGAATTAAGTTCATTTAAAATATTGGAAAACCATACTTTTTTGTATCTTTCATTTCCAAACGTGTTGCTGGAAAATAATATAAAGGCAGTTGCATTGACGCGTTACGGAAAAATCTGCAACAAAGAAAATTAGATGACACGCGCTATCAACATGCATGGAAGTCATGAAGGGTACCCCGGTTGGTAGAATAAATTAGCGTTTTTATTGCGAACACAATCTTATTGTTTTTACTTTATTTTCACAGGTCAGCCCTGTTGGTATTCATCCCGGAGCCAACGGCGTGAAGCGCCTTTCAGGTTGCAAGCCCGGGCGAGGGTACTAATTTCGCCCGTTCATTTACCCCCGGTTAAACAAAACCATCAGCAAAGCCTAAAGTTCATCAATGATCGCGGACGTGGGTTACTGTGCGTGGGTGATCATCTACACCGATCTCAAAATAAGCGAACCATCATGAGTTTCGAACACTCTTTGGGCCTATTTAAAATTGTTGAAGGGTAAGTCACATCGTGGTACAATATCCTCCCAATAACCGAGGTCTTATCATTTTCAAGTAGCTAGGGGCTTACAAACCGAGCGAGCCAAGGTTATCAATAAAAATTGGAAGTTCATTTTTCACTTTAATTAATAATTAAAGAACTCATATCGAGATATTGCTGACTCGCTTAATTATCAGACTGACATCCCTTACCCCAGGAACGCAAGAAAAATGCCAGCACTTTGATGGGGGAGGAAATCATCCCAGTACTCAAGGGACAGGGGAAACAAGCTATCATGGACGCGTAAAAATATCGATACAACTATGAGGAAGCAATCTATAATCATGCGGATGAGATATCTCGTCAAATAAGCAGCCCGCATCTGAGCTCCATCTTTCTCAAACTCATCCACATAAGCTAGCGGACGATGTCGACCTCCTTGTTAAGCAAATTGGACACTTTTTGTCTGACCAGAGATGGGTTCTCTATGCAGCGATGATTTCAAAAGATCAGCTGGAAAATGATAATACAACTTACTCAAACATGACCTAGCGCAGGGTCGTCGGGGCCGTAGGGGTAATAGCTCAACAGAAGAATATCAATATCACTGACACCAACAACAAGGTTCCTTTTTATCACATATGTATTTTGAATGTTGTGCGTCCTGTGCGTAGCTTTTGATAGATGCAAAACGCTCGGACTACAGTCAGCTCTACTCTGACACTAAGACTCTAATACACTAACTGCTTTCTGACAGTGTCATACACATTGTTTCATGTTAATTAAATTATGCTATTGTGCATTGTTCATCAATGGTTCATTGTGTACTTCATGTTATATGTAAACAACGAGTTTGAGTGTTTCATCAGGGGATCCAAACACAAGAAAACTGTATGAAACACGAGCGCAAAGCGCGAGTGTTTTATTGTTTTCGAGTGTTTGGTCCCCTGATGAAACACGAGAAACGAGTTGTTTACATAACATCTAGAACGAAAACATTATTAAACTGGATAAACACGGGAATAAAAGTTATGGTGTGTTCTGCACATGCGTATATCTAGGATAAAATCCCACAAGCGCAAACGAAACTATTTCTCTATAAAGTTGAGCTGAAAGAACTCACAGCGACCGTTTTGGCAGTGCTTCAGGCGCCCGATGATATTGTATGAGGGGCCTTTAGCACTACAACTTCTCATCTTGAGATGTTCACGTTATCGCGTGTACTTGTCAGGATGACGAAGGATTGCGAATAATGTCTGTGTGCACTGATACACGCTGCTTTATTTTTAATAATGCTGTGTGCACGCTGCATTATTTTTAATAATGCTGTGTGCACGCTGCATTATTTTTAATAATGCTGGGTGCTATTTTAGCTTCTCGACATTCGCTGATATAATGCAGAGAGAAAACAATAGGTTATTATGACCGTCAGTAATTATTATGGTATATTGTTGTGTATTGACTTGAATTTGTAATTAGGATCTCAGTTATTAGATGAAAACCGTTTTTCATCTAACAACAGTGATGGTATATGATTTTTAGCGTGTTTCCTTGCGGTATCCAACCTCAATCATGTGACGAATTAGGGTGAGTTCATTCGCTAATTTGCTCATGAATTATTAATGAGTTCTAGATGTGACCATCACGTGCAATACTCGTGCATATAATTCTAGTGTATTATTCGTGTATAAAAATTGATTACAACTTTGAGTTTTGTGATTCGTTATCGGTGTTATGCATTGTATGTTTTAAATAAAAAAAAACATATAGAAGTATTTTCAAGAAACTTCAATTAAACACAATTGAATCACAATACTACTGCTATAGTCTATGCAAGTGGGTTGAACACATTTTGATTCTTGGACTACCTATATACTACCTAAATAGGTAGTCCAAGAACCAAAAAAGTGGGACGAGTACCAATTTTATCCGTGCCGTACCAAAAATTAAGCGTAGTGTAAACGGGGCTTAAGTTATTCTTTTCCAAATTAGAAGCGTGATTACGTATAACGACAAAATTTCCTTGTTGTGATTATCAGGTGTTCTTATTAGTTTCTTTCTCTAGCTCATTTTTTTTAAAAAAGGCCGTCCGGTTTTCATGAACGTTAGTGTTAGATTACAGCATGCAATAATTAAGCAATATTACATTAGGGTTCGGGTAACACGTTAGTGTTGGAGTTGGATTAGGAATATTGTTCAAATTAAGACACTATTGCTGTGATCATTACCCATATTTTCAATTCATAAATCCTGACTGCTATCAATTGAGATAATGTGACGCGGGTGAAATATTCACAGTACTATACACTTGTTACGTATAGGTTATTTTGAGGCAACGAGGGGATATGTGATTTATTCACCGAGGCGCGTAGCGCCGAGGTGAATAAACACATATCCCCGAGGTGCCTCAAAATAACGTACTTATTTTTCACACTGCGAGGTCGCATTAATGAGTAAGAATAGAAATAATTCTTAATGTCATATTGTCTTCGTTATGTTATGTTTTGCTCATTTTTTTGTGATGCAAAGACATTGCATGGGTGAATATTAGAGGGGATTATTAAACGGAAATTGATTAGAGGGGAATATTGAATATATTCCCCGATAAAAACAAAGAAAACCGAGCAGGGTGAAAAATAATGTACATTACTTTTCGTCGTTTTACACCGATATGTTTCATTATACAGCCTATTAACAAAACATTCACTCAATCCCTGCGAATCACATAGCCTGCGAACACGACTGTAAACTCACAATTCATTACAACTAACTAAAACACGTACGTCACATGCCCACTCACTCTTAGCCTAAATATTTATGCACAAAGGAGAGGAATACATATTTTCTCTTCAACAATGCTACCCTGCATAATTGATACGCTTATTAATATTTTGTTCCTATTTTCCGGCTCCAAACCTGCTGATTATCACACTTACCCCAAGTTATGCTCTTCCTCTGCTCATATGGGATTAAATGTTCCCGTCATAGTAAAAAAATGATGTCCCATCACGTTAGTGTGCGGCCCACGAGTAATATTTTCTATATTTATATTCAATATGTCGAGAATAAGTGCAGGAAGTTTTCGAACACAAAGATAAAAATGGGATATTTTCTCGCTTCATTTAAATCCCCTTACGTCATCCGCCACTTATGTTTTCCATAGAGCGTTTTGTTTACGCGATCTGTTGTTCTTGTATTTTATTTGCACAATTGACGTCCTTATATGCCTGGTTCATGCACATATATTCATCTGTACGTATCCGGGCTATTGTCGTTATAGCAGTTCAACCCAATAATTCACAATTAATGTATGCATGAACAACTGCATGTAAACAATGTTATATTTCACCCTGCTCGGTTTCCTTTGTTCTTATCGGGGAATATATTCAATATTCCCCTCTAATCAATTTCCGTTTAATAATCCCCTCTAATATTCACCTGCAATTAATAATCCCCTCTAATATTCACCTGCAATGTCTTTGCATCACAAAAAAATGAGAAAAAAAACAACATAACGAAGGCAATATGACATTAAGAATTATTTCTATTCTTACTCATTAATGCGACCTCGCAGTGTGAAAAACAAGTACGTTATTTTGAGGCACCTCGGGGATATGTGTTTATTCACCTCGGCGCTACGCGCCTCGGTGAATAAATCACATATCCCCTCGTTGCCTCAAAATAACCTATACATAGCGCCTGATGCGGGATGATACCGCAGGCATATGTGAACCAGGCTTTACTGTGAACAAGGTTTATAAATTCATAGTTATGTCAAGATATGGGACTTAGATAGGGAAAGTTAGTAAATTATAGTTATTAGTGCCTTCTGTTTTGAAAACAATCATTAGTCACAGAAAAATCGTATATTAATATCAAAGTTATGTCTCCTTATATTTCTTTGTTCGTTACGTGTCAAAACTGTTTTGATATTCCAAAGAAACGATATCATGATCCTATACAGTTTTATTAATTTAACTTTTGTAGCAAAATATTTTACAGGCTACCCTTTCGTTAATTAATATTTCTTATGTTGAAAAGGAGGCCCACGCGAATAATATTATTGAAATATTATCGAATAATTTTGGCCAAATTTAAAGTACTTTGTATGCACATCACGAGCATCAACTTCTCTTTGCAGAAATTGCAATCAAGTAGCCACCAGCGTTGCCTCCATCTAAAATACCCTTCGTTACGATGTATTCTCATTATTCTGATAGAAGTTATAAAGTAAAAGGCATTCATTTTAATTAAAGTGTATAATTATGTTTCTTGTGGGAGGTCTTTAATTCCGTTTCGACAATAACACTTTGGCGTATTCATAATCTGCAGCAATTCACCATGATTATGATAACCAGTAATAATCATAATTTACCGAAATTGCTGTATCCATGACCAATTCTAAGCTGGTCGCATCTACAATCAATTTTATATTGATCAAATGCACCGTCGTTTATAATTGCATGTGATAATGTGATATTCTATATATTCCGATCAACGGATTTGTTAATATATACTGATCAGCGGATATTATATCGGTAATTGCTACAATGTCATTTATTTTGTTCTTCTTCACTATGTTTCCAAGTTTAATAAGAATTTTCAGCATCATGGCTTTTAAATTCATTGGAATTCCA